ACTGGCGTGACCCAACGAACTTGCCACCGTACGAGGAGCGTTGCCGTCTCCTGGGAATCGAGCCATTAGAGGTGAAACGGACGGTCGCTCAAGCTATGTTCGCTGGAAAGCTGTTTACGGGCGACATTGACTGTCCAACACTGCTGTCACAGCTAAATATGTATGCCCCTGAGAGGTCTCTGCGTCAACGCGACTTTCTGTTTTTGGAACCACGGAGCCGGAATTATACACAACACGAGCCAATTCGAGCAATCAGCCGGCAATTCAACAACTTTTTTTATATGTTCGACTTCAATGTATCAGCTGACGTGTTTTGTCATCGGCTACTTGGCCTTTTCCGTACCGTTGATCGTAACTATTTAGTTTAAGTTTTATTTATTTAGACAATAATTGTCAGTTGAATTTTTCAATAAACAACAATCTCAACAAACTGTACCGAAATCAGAAAAGCAACTACTCGGTAAGATTTTGACATTTCTATCTAAGCTATTTTATATCGAGTTTTTTTTTCAATAATTGAAACATGTGAATAATGCAGAACAAGTTCTAGAGCCAAATTAGTTTTGAAGGAAGGTCAAACTACAACCGAACAGCTCAGCAAGCGAACCCTTCAAGTATGAACATTATGCTTTCCCAATATGGTACATTCTCGATTGTACGACTTTTCCCCGAAAACCAGTTCCCCGAAAACACTTTCCTCGAAAGTTTTATCCCCGAAATACGATTCCCCGAAAGGAACGTTTTCCCGAAAACTATTTCCCCGAAAGATACAATTTACACTGTGCGATCTATTTAAATATGATCCTTGGGTTTGTTACAACTTATCTATATGAAATTGAGAAAAATATCTTTGCTGAATATTGATAAACAGAACAAAGTCGTTCAACACCCTAGATAAAGTTTGTGGTTATGACTTGTTATGACATTTGGCGGTTTATCAAATTGATATCTGATTGTAATGAGCATAAAGACTGAGCTTTGTTATAAAGAAGGGAAAATTGTGTCAGTTTCATCAAATCTTTCGCTGGTTAACTACTTGTATCGAACAATACCACACTACACATATCAATGTGTGTCGAATTAAAGTGGACTCTACACGACTGTTTGTATTGACAATAATCGTATTGTCAATGCATTTTATATTGACGTCAATACATCGGTATTGACAATATATCTGTATTCACATCATCCATATTATTGTCAATACTTTTAAGTATTGACAATATTTCTTACCGTGTGGGGTTCGCTTAAGACAAAACCCAACCAACCATTTTGTTAATTTTCTTTAATTTTCTATACATCGATCTTCAAAGCCATTCATAAGAAAAATCGATAGCGATCGTCACCATTTCATGAATAATTGTAAAGATGCTAAAAGTCTAATCGTGAATCGTTTATAAAGATCTGTCTCAAAATATTGCTACCAATCGTTACCAATGTTAAAATATCGATTGTGTTGCCAGATCAAAATATCGATTTCTGTTGTAAAATCAAAATATCGATACACAACTGCTGATTTTATTTGTGATTTTTTATCTGCATGATTTCTAGTTTCGATCCCAGGCCATCTGGGGTGTACTGATTTCGTTGTTGGTTGCTAATCCTCGGGTCCACGGCTGCTGTTGATGAGCTTATCAACGACAGGCAAACACACTCTAGTATGTGGTGTATTGAAATTTCTGTAAATCTTTTCATACATGAATTCAATATTGTTTTGTCATAACCATCAACCAGTCAGCCATGTAGGTGTAATAGAGTTCAAAAAGGTATTAATTTTCCTCATTGGGTTCCAAATGCCGAGAATCCCACCACGCATGCTATCACGGGTTATTAAATATAAAACGTGAAGAACTACAATGGTAAACATTTGCTGCGTCACGGCCATCGGTCTTCTCGTTCATTTACCAGCAGATTGCTTCTTCCGATGAAATGCCGAATATGTCGATAAATAATATAAACATTGCTATCTGTCACCTGGTGTGTCTCGAACTCTCTTTAACCAGCGATGCAAATCGATAACAAGAAGATTATAAATGTGCATCGATGGCAATCTTTGTTGTTCTTTGTCAAAGTTCAAAGTTACGATGATATCAGTATTTAAATATTTATTGATGAATATTTGTAAAGAATACTAAAGTCCATGTGAGATATCGAAATTAAAAGAAATTTAGTATGGCACCTTTATAGATTACTATCATATGACCGATGAAGAAATAATCTTAAATGTAAGTATCGAGCAATAAAGATTTTTAAATGTGTACATCGAAATCATAGAAAATTTAAAGTAAAGGATTGCCGACATAAATCTTTATTTCTGTATAAAGCACTTTGAAGAAGTTTCACGAACGGTTGGTCGGGTAGTTTGACTTTCGTTAAAACTACATGTAAAGGTCACACACTATCTCAACAGCAATCTCAACAGCTGAACGTTCGGTAAACAGTTCGGTGATTTTTCACAGATTTCCTGTAATTTTTTACCGAATATTCTGAAATCGGTGTATGGTGTTTTCACAGTGTTTTCTTCTTGCTCCATACAATTTTGGATTCGGCCTATAGCATGTATTGCATGGGGACGCATGGTATCTTTTATTTATTAGTATGGAGTTTTTTAACGTTCGTACCTATCCAACACACACACACACATACATTGTATGCAATTAGCTCCATGGAACATACCCAGTTATACGTCAAATAATCAACTAAGATAAAAAGAAGGAAAAATTCTTGCAACAAACAAAATTTTCCCTTCTTTGTATCACAGCTCGTTCTTTAACGTTTTGAAGAATAAATATCTTACTAATTTATAAAACTGATATCTAATCGTAATCAAATTAAAAAAACGAGCCGTTAGGGGCCATACATTAATTATGTCACGCGAAATTGAGGCAAAATTAATCAATCACAGATTTCTACACGTCCCTCCTTAGGGCGTGACATAATTTTTACATCACCCCTTATACAAAGAAGAAAATCGTTGTTTGTTTCAAGAAATGTTCCTTCTTTGTAGCACAGCTCGTTTCTTAACGTATCGCATAATATCTACCCTAATAAAAATGTTATGGTTAATTTGCTTAACGACGTGTTCTGGGTATCATCCAAACCATTTGTGGAATAGTTCACACATTTGGGTTATCGTTCGTTTATGGTAATTTTTTATTAGGGTATCTAATTGGTTTTATCAAAGAGATATCATTTTCCTTTCTTTGTATCACGGCTCGTTCTTCAATTTTATTACAATGAGATATCGCTTTGATAAATTAGTAAGATATTTATTCTTCAAAACGTTAAAGAACGAGCTGTGATACAAAGAAGGGAAAATTTTGCTAGTCGCAAGAAATTTTCCTTCTTTGAATCATAGTTCATTCTTTGACGTATAATATGGTATGATCCATGGAGCTAATTGCATACAATGTGTGTGTTTGTTTGATAGGTACGACCGTTAAAAAAAAAACTCCATACAAACAAAGAAAAGATATCATGCGTCCCCATGCCATAGGGTGAATCTAAAATTGTATGGAGCACGAAGAAATCAATATGTGTTGAATAAAGACAAAAAATTGACTTTCGTTAAAACTACATGGAAAGGTCAAAAGCTGCTGAAATAGGATTACACCGATTTCAGGAGCTTGACCTTTACATTTTGTTTTAACGAAAGTCAAACTATTGTCTTTATTCGATGCACATTAATATGTTTATTGTGGTATTGTTCGAAAGTAGTTAACCAGCGAAGATGCGCAGATTCGGGGATATGGTCAGGGTGGCCAGACCTACCGATTTATCGGTAGTCCTACCGATTTTCGGGGTGCCTACCGATTCACAGACGAAAGGTTCAAAACTACCGATTTTTCACTTTTCCTACCGAGAATCACAGATTTTTAGATTAAACGCTGTCCAGACTGGAGAGTTATAACATGTTATAACGGTTGTCAACTAATTCCAACACAGAAACCACCATCAAGATAGCGCTATAACATGTTATAACTCTGTAGTCTGAACGTACTATTATAAATAGAAAAATTGATTTTGAAACGTTTAAAGCAAAAGAACTCAAGGACAGTGTATTGTTCTGGATCACAGAGTCATCCCCGTCCGCTCACAAAAGTTTCAAGTATCGGGAAAGTCTTCTTAAGTCGACCTACCGATAACTACCGATAAAAGTTTTGATAATGAAAAAAAATAATCTGGCCACTCTGGATATGGTACATTCGGGGAAATTATTTTCTGGGAACTGTGCCATTCGGGGAATTGTATTTCGGGGAAAAGTTACATTCGGGGCAATAACTTTCGGGGAAAGTGTTTTCGGGGGACTGGTTTTCGGGGAAAAGTCGTACAATCACATTCTCTCCCTATAAACCTGTCATTTCTAGCTTATCTGAACTATTTAATAAAAGCATGGGTTACGTTCCCCCTAAGCGGGCCCTCCGCATCCTATCTCTGTCTTATCTGAAATGCCAAATGCCAATGGTTTGAATGTATCAATATATAAATTGGAAATGACGTTCAATCAAATAAACCCATACCCCACTCACTTGACCAGGCTTCAGAATCGTCCAGGGGACAGTGCGCTCTACACTCCAAGTTCCCTTTCTTTCAAATTCGCCCCAAATTTGATATTTTACCCATTTGGGTGTTGATTAATGACAATGAAACATTGTGACCGAGCACGGACTTGAGGTTACTAGAGTATTAAATAGTCTAGGTCCTATTTAGGATTATATCTGAAAAATCCAAATCTGGCCAACGCCCACCAGATTCTGGACAAACTATTTTTATCTAGATAAAAAATATGGTGTTGAATCGAGTTTTGATAGATTTTCGAGTTTCATGTCGGTTTGTCTATCATCACATTCCATGTTGCACACAAGTTGACCGCTTTGCAACAAGTTGACCGCTATGCAACAATTTCAGCAGATTTTCCAATATAGGTAAATGTATAAAGTTCAAACCTCCCAGAATGTCAAATGCTATCGTTATCATCAAAATTAATCTGTGATTGCCCTGTTCAACCCCACAGCAACTATTTGCACATTAATAGGTAGTTAGAACAAATTTACCCCGCGATGACATCAACCCAAGTGTTGGAACGATGTATCTTTTGCAAGATCGCCACCGGTAAAGATCCGAGCACTTCGATAGTGTACGAAAATGAACGGATTTGCATTTTCAAAGACATCCGTCCGGCAGCGGACCACCATCTGCTGGCCATACCCAAGTACCATGTGGATGACACCCGGTCGTTGACGGCTGCCGAGCGACCTCTCTGTAAGTCGTCCCTGTCCCATCAGTTTCCAGTTGAGTAAAAACTTACCCCTTTACAGTGGAGGAAATGCGAGTTGAGTTGGGAAATGTTCTGACCGGCCAGTACCAGATCGATCTGTCCCAGGCAATCTTCGGCTTCCACATTCCACCGTTCACGACGGTCAAGCACCTGCATATGCACGGTATCGCTCCGGTTGGCAGTATGGGATTCATTTCGAGAATGATCTTCAAGCCCAATACGATGTGGTTCAATACGGTTCGAGTTGCTTAATATGCTCGCACTTGCTTTTTGGCTAACGAGAGATTATGTTTTTTTTTCCAGACTGAAGCAGTTATGGATCGAATTCCATCGGTTTCGCAGGACGAAACAACGGCTCAGTGATTGTTCCGTCGGGACGCTTTGTTGTTATTGTTGCTATGTTATTAGCTTGAGAAGCTTTAATCCAGCAATGATATGCTATTATTCATTTGTTATCACATCTCCCAGGGGACAGTAGTACTAGTAGGTACGATGGATCTCTACGATTCACATAGAAAGTGGTTATTTTTAAGACCATCGTGAACACATATTTTCTTTTGTGTTGAGTAAATGCAGAGCCTGTAGGATTCCATTTCAGTCTTTCCATAATTGGCATACCTAATTTGAAAATGAGAGTGTCGGAATTTTAAGAAGCTTTCCCTTGACCTGTTTGAAATTAAACTTAATACATTTTTCAGCTACCCATTTGCATGTAGTTTAAAATTTACGTTTGATATTTGATAAGGGTCGAGACAGTTTCAATCAGTTGCCACCAATTTGTCCCATTTTACGGTATTGATGATTTCAATTAAATATAAGGTAGTTTCGAAGCTAAAGAATCTTTCTTGATGTTAATAGTAGACATAACTAAAGTATGCAGTTTACTAAATCTACACAAATCACAACTTTTGCATATAATATAATATAGAAGATATCGCAAGGCTTAGCCAATAAGGAATTCTTACCTGTACAAACCGCCTCTACAGACATTGCGTGCTAATCAACGTCTGGTAGTGTTGCATATACTCCCCGCATTGCTCATCTGCAAATAATAAACAAAAATTGTACTCGTCTCTCGCAAGCAGTTCCCCTCAAGCCTTACGTTTCAGAAAATCCGGCGACCCCCGCACTCTGATGTTCTTCGCTTGGAAAAAGTTGTACACCGAGTGGAATACCAACGGGTCCCGGACTTTGAAGGCAGCCTCCAGGTACTTCCTGGCTGGCAGCGAATCCGCACCGGGCATCTGCTTGGCAATCCTCAGCGCCTCGATGACCTGTCCTTTCTCCAGCAGAACCTCCAGTATGATCTCGTTGGCATTCAACCGGGCCAGCATATCCAGGGCCATCTGCGAGATCGACGGATCCGAATTGGACAGCGAGAGCAGAAAGCACGCCAGTGGTTTCGATTCACTCAGAGCGGAATACTTGAGCAGGTTCTGGAGGGTGTCAAATTGCTTGTTCTTGACCAAATCAATGACGATCTGTTTGCTCAGCTCGTGGCTAGGAGCGATACCGTAGCGGGCCAAGGAATGTAGATACAGAAGCAAGATCTTGCCCAGCTGCTCAGCTTCAGTGATGGAGGAAAATACGGCCGTATACATGTCGGCTTGATCGATCAGGACTCGCGGAGGGACCGTGTGTTTTTGCGACTGGGACTTGCTCGAAAGGGACATCAGCGCCATCTGACTCTGCAGTTCACTGTCCAGCACGGTCTTGTAGAGCGAATTGAGCTTGTTGAAGACGCTTTCGATCACCGGCAGCATGGTTCCACTGTAGTTCGTACTCATCATCTCTTTGAGAACGTTCAGCAGAACGGGCTTCCCATCGGTTCGTTGCAGCAGGAATTCCACCAACCGGATGCGATCTGTGATGAGCGTGCACAGCGAGTTGAGCTTCAGCAGTACGGACCAAAGGCATCCCAACTTGGCGTCGATTACGATGTTCGGCTGAAACAGGACCCAGTGCTGTGAATCTGAAAGTAGATTAGAGTTTTACAACGAGACCACCTATTGCTCAATCAATTAGGTAACACTCACAAAGATCGCAATTTACCGTCTTCCCATCGAGGGAAATGCTCGGTACCTCCAACGCAAACGGCTTAATCGCCTTAGCCGGAATGATCGGCTGATGGATAAGAGCGCCGGAATTAGCATCCGTTTCGCCACCTCCGAGTGCAATATCAAATAGCATCGAGGTGGCTGTGGCTTGATGGTGCACCACCACCACATCGTCGACGATATTCATGGCAAAACGACCGTTTTGACCCAGCCGAAGGATGTGAGACTTTCTCGGTGCCAACCCCGGACCGTTGAGAAGGTAAATTACCACCTCGAATTGACGGTTCTGCAGCTGCTTCAGGATCATGATGGCATTCGTGCCGTACAGTTGGGCCAACGTGACATCCCGTCCGGAACAGCCTTGCCCCGTTCCTAACTCCAGCCGGGGAAGTTTCGTTATGGTCGAAGGTTTTAACAGAACCGGTGTCAAGATCGAACCCATATTCGACGACAGCAGAGCAAAGTTAGAAGTGGGACAGAAGCTGAACCAATTGACCGTTGTGTTCAGCGATTTGACCGACTTCAATGTTCGCTTCTCGAAGTTCAGTTGGAAAATCTCCACTCCACCGTTCGAGATTAGCGCTACCTGTCGGTCATGAACCCACACGAATCCGTAGATGATATTCTTCCCCTGATGGACCAGCATGTCTGCCACGACTGGTTGGTTGCTGGAATTAAAGGGGACAAATTCCACTGCAGTCTCATTCCGCTGGACGGCCAGAACTTGGTTGTCGGGTGCAAACTTGATCGATCGAATGGTACCCCGATCTTCCATACAAAAGGATATGCTCTGCGAATCGTTGGCACTCTTGACCACGATTCCCGTGGCTCCGCCGGAACGGACCGCGAATACCTTCGGAACAGTCCAAACGATGATGTTTTTTCAGTTGTCGATTGATGTAATGGAACTTTCATTGGCTCACTCACCTGCTGTTTGGCATCGTCGAAGAAAACATTCGTCAGCTGGCTCACGGCATCGAACCGAACCGGATCCGGCGACAGTTCCAGGTAGTAGTGCTGGAAGTCCGTAGTTTTATCCATATTTTCTGGCGATTTTTTTAGATGCACATATTTTGGTCGAATTCAGGAGTGTTACTGCGCGTTATCAAAACAAAAATTTCTGTGTGAATCATATCAGCGCGGATGACAGAACGAAAAGGGAAACCGCGAATAAGTGACAGGAACAACGAACGACCGTCTTGCTCGCTCGAAGAACGTGACGAATGACGACAGTATAGTTTAAAAAGTAAACACATCAGCTGTTTGTGTTGATTTACGCTTTCTGTATCGATTAATTTTTGGTTTTATCACAATGATTTCAATTTATTTTGGCTTATTCTATTGAGTTTCAAAGTATTTTTCAAACCTTAATTATAGTTTGCATTTAGTTTGGTGATAATACTGGTGTGTACGTCGAATATGAATGCCATCATAGCATTGTGCCATTTCTGCGAAGCTCATGGTAGGTATCGCCGAAATGTTTGCCATATTTAGTAAATATTATACGAAGCCTTCACAGTGCTGAATTGGTTTGAACTAAAATATAATTTTAGAATGTGGAAATGAACAAAAAAAAAACTTTTGTACGAGTGCCGCACCCATATTCTTTAAATAGTGCCTCACAACTTTCACATATCATTCTAAGTTTTGTTTGCCGATTTTTTTTTTAATTTTCCATTCATTTACCATATTTAAGAGTAACCTTTAACAAGGCTGCAACTGCATTTCAAATTTCTTCTGGTTAACGTTATTTGAAAAACAAAATTCGGGTTTTACAAATCCCGTATTCAGGAATCCAAAGCAGTAGAGTCGGATCTAAAATAACCGACTCCTGCTCCGATTCGATCAAAATTTTTACATGTGAAATTGCGAAGTGTAACACGAGAAAGGACGCTACAGGGAATCACATTAACAAATTTCGGTTTATTAAGTACCGTACCAAAATAAAAAAAAAATCGTTCCCTCCCTTCCAACATTTACATTTTGGCAAGGAAAACAATTCTAGATAGAGCTGGATTTAGGGCCTAACAGCTTTTGTGATAAAGAGTCCTCTTGATGATTTCTAGAAATTCAAGGCTTACCCACGCAAACCAACATCCTCATCGGGTAGGGAAAGACTTCCCTTATCCCATGGTTAGGTTGGTCTGCGTGAGCGTGCCTTGAATTCATAGAAATCATCGGTAGAAGTCATTGGCGTTGACGGCGACTCTGTAGCTCTTTACTCCTATGAGAAAATCCATAAGCAAACGTCAGACTGTGCGTGAAACATGGCGGACTTTGTACTATCCTTTCACTCCACCGAAAATTCCCATAAGAAACTATCTAAATTTGCTGGAATAGCAAATTTTTCGACGGTGCCGTCAACGCCAATTGTTTGCAAAAGTTGTTACGTCCTAATTCCAGCTCTATCTAGAATTATAAGCTACACTCAAAAAATTTCACACGTTTGATCGAAAAGTTTAAACACTTGATTTTTTAAATGCAGAATCACATTTACTTTAAGTGTATTTCACCGTGGTTCAATGAGTTATACACGTTAATTTATAGTGTTTCAAACTTTGAAATGTTGAAAATCTTTCACTATCTATTCAAGTGTATTGGGTTCTTTAAGGTATTGAGGTAAATGCATATTCGTAATCTGCAATAAAAATGGAACCCAAACCAAAATTTCATCAATTTCGGTACACTGGAACTATTTTAAATAAGTACGATTACATTTGCAAAAATCACCTTATTAGCGCCCCTCGGTGTCACTTTGTATGGGAGTGAGCTGTCAGTTTGTCAGTATAGTGTCAAACAATGAAGTTATTATTTTGATTTAAATCTTGATTTAAAAATCGAAATGAAAGTGTGTGGGTTCGAAAAAAATATCGCTGTGCTCAGAAAACGAAGCTCTTTCAGATGATATATAAAAACCGATATATTTTTCAAAATTAAAGAGCCCAATAGGCTTTTTTAATGCACCACCAATTAGAGAGCGCCAGACGAGTTCAAGAGGCAACGTCAACCAAACCGTTTGTTTACATCAAAATGAGGATTTTTCACAACGCAAATTAAAGCATTTGTCATTGAACATCTTGCCAATTTCCATCGGTAATTGTCTTACACCGATCTGAACTGATTTGTGCTTCAACTATTCACACACTAGAAATCCGGAAGATCGTGGTTATGAGGCACTATTCTAATTTACATTTTTCTCGACAAAAATATTCCTAAACACCAGCAGGATCCTTGAAAAAACGATACAGAATTAAATTTTTCGACTCTAGATCAAATTTTGGAGCATCAAGGATAAATATATTTATGAAGGAAAGTTAAAAAGTGTTCCACTTCCTATGTCTCACGAAAACAAATTCTGCTCACAACACTCTTTTCGACGTTCTCCTATTCATTACCAGAGGTTGAATTGATCGCTAAGTTTCTATTAAAAAGGCGTATTGCACATTGAAACACGCTACTGTTCAAAACAGATGGATTTCAAGTGTTTTGCATTTCAATACGATGTGAATTGTTTGCTCAGAAAGGTAAACATCGAAAACAAGAGTTGTGACTTTATCCTATAAACCCGCCTCATATATGAGGACAACCGTGGCACAGTGAGATCGAACCTTGGATCGAACGAAGCAGCTGTGAATGCTCTGGCCTCTGGCAGTTTTGTTTATATATTTGCCGATTCATTTTTAGAATCGGTAAAGTAGAAGTCGATAAAGTAAGATATTGTAGAATATTGAACTATGAAGTGCAAAGCTATTGATATAACCATATGAGGCACATAGAATCCAAGTGTGTCACAATTCAAATCCATAGTGTTCAGTTTCAAGATGATGTACGAAGAAATGTATTGAATCCCATTAATGAAATTGTAGGAGTAATGACTGATGTCGGTTTAATTTCACGTTCTGGTAGTACCGTATTAAAATCTGTATTTTCAGTGATCAACAATTCACAGACCGAGTACAAATTTATACGAGACCTCAAAGAAATAGGCTTGTACGAAGAACCGGTGTATTTTAGTATAAGTAACGAACTGAAGCCAGCTGTAATACATCAAAACTTAGAAATGGTCGAAGATGATGTAAAGGGTGTTTTAATGCCTATAAAGTTCCAACTACGCAAATACTTAGAATCGGAAAATGTAATCGATCTATTGATTGGATGTCTAAAATCATCTGATGATGGAGTAATCAGGTCTTTAGTAGATGGCACCATTTGGCAGAAGAAAATACAAGGACTAGAAAGTAAGTTGATCGTTCCAATCAATATATTTTTTGACGATTTTACTACAAGCGACACAGTTTCTCCTCATGCCAGTAACACTAAAATATGTGGAATTTATCATTACATACCTTGTTTACCACCATATATTCTGTCACGACTTGTTAATATTCTAACGACTGGTTATGTTATGTCTGGAGATAGGAAACATTTTGGCAATGAACGGACGCTGCTTAAACTAGTTGAAACATTAAGTGAATTAGAAAACACTGGACTTACCGTCCGATACAAAGGAAACGAGATAACTGCTTATTTCAAGCTAGGTTTCATAACTGGTGATAATCTAGGATTGAGTGAGATACTAAATCTAGTTGAGTCACCTACTGCCAATTATTACTGTCGTATGTGTACCAGAACTAGGAGTGAGAGAGAAATCGACAGCAAAGAATATGTAGATTCTCTTAGATCTGAAGAGATGTATGAAGAGCATGTGCAAGTGAATGATATGTCTAAAACAGGTGTAAAAGACAGGTGCATCCTAAATCGCATTCCATCATTCCACGTGGCTTTAAATGTGTACTTTGATGTAATGCACGACGTACCTGAAGGGATATGTCTTTATGGTTTATCGCATTGCTTGAACTATTTTGTATACAAACAAAAATACTTCACATTAGATGATTTAAATTGCCGGAAAAATCTTTTTGTTTATGGCCACTTGAATTCATCTAACATTCCGGATGATATAAAAGATACAAATCTCATTAAACAAAAGATTCGAATGACTGCAAGTGAAGTAATAACACTGATGCGTTTTTTACCGTTGTTCATTGGTAAACTCATTCCGATAGGCGATCCAGTATGGATACATTTTTGCAGCCTGCTAAAAATTTTTGATTTAGTTATGCTGCAAGATTTTCCTATTGAATTGATTCAAGAACTTAAGGAAGTGGTTGAGTTTCAAAATTAACAAATGATAGCTGGTAGAGGAAACATTCCTATACCTGTTGGTGTAGTTAATTTTCATGAATGAGCTTTTATTTGCGAGAAATCGACGGCTAAAGCCATTGTTTACAAAAGCAATTACGCCCCTTTGAAATGTTGGCACTATCAGTGATTTTGTCAAATTATCTTAACAAAAAATAATAGAAATTCTCATTACTGATCATTACCAAACGTATCCCACGACAATTGAATGCTCGCTGCGTGTTTATTATCATTTCTTCGATTATATTTTATATTTTATTGCAATACCTTTCGTGGACCTTTCATAGCATCGTAATGTTTGTTTACTTCGGTTTACTTTGCACGATAGGTACACAGCAAAAAAAAATGTAATATCGATCAACGTAATTCAAGCTGATGTATGAAATAATGATGTAATAGCAAAAAGCAGATACAATATTACATCAATGGATGTAATTTTGTTCGCAAAATCGATGTACATCGTACAATGTGATATTACACAACCGATGGATTGACCTGGTTGCATCAGTTTCGATGTAATATTCAACAACTTTTTTTGCTGTGTAGCTGGTTTGACAGTTCGATAGGTAGACTTGGCTTCACTCTTGGCGTGACTCATTATACACCGTCTCTATTATAAGCATGTGAATATATTCATCAATAATATATTTACGGCTGTCATGGAAATGGTTCATTAAAAATTGATATCGCATTTTAATAAAGTTAAATAAAAAATAGAAAAATGTGAAACCTTATTTGGGGTAACATTGGGCCAAAACATAAATTTGGTTAAAATATCTTAAAATATGTAAATGTAACGTAGCTATTACGAGCACACTTGGTTATGATCACAATGTACTTCGTATGTATAGGCCTGTACAGAGATCGAAGCGAAGCGAAAATCTCAAACAAAATACTACATTTTTCACCTGCGTGAAAAACGCAATTGGCAAATATTTCGCTTCGCTTTGAACTGTAAACATATACGATCCAGCGAAAACGAATTTTGTGGATCGCATCTTTTTCGCTTACGTTTACTTTTTTCACGCATGCCGCGCTCGCGAAAAGTTGACGTTTTGTGAAAGAGCATATCTGTCAAATTTTCACTTCACCGGAGGTGTAAACTGATCGATTTCGTTTCACATGAACTGTAAACTGCGAAAAAAGGAAACTGGAAAATGTTCCACAAACACGTTTCCACAACCTTTTTCGCTAGCAAAATTTCATTAGTTTTCGCGTGCTTCAAATTTCGTTTCGCATCTGTATACTATATACTGTATACTAAGGCTTATGGCTAAAGATTACGTATAACGCTCGTCTATCCATGAAAATGTGTTCAAACTTTTGTTTGCCGCGAGACGTTTTTAAGAGCGTATTTTACTACTAGCACAGACAAACAGACGTAACTCTTTAAAAAACTTGTTCTTGAACACATAGTATCTCAAAACATATAACCTCAGTAACGACATCTCTCTGCCCGCATAAACGCGAACCATAAATTGACCTTACCTAAAATGGTTAAAAATTGTTTATAATCCCTGCTAAACTTTAACTGAAATGGTTATGGAACTTTACATGAACGTTTAATGATAAAGTTTTAACCTTATGTATTATGGTTTTTTGGAACTGGACCTTACAAATAATGGGTTGTTAAGAACCATTACCATTCCAAATTCTTGTTTTCTCCATACATTTTCAGAAAGAGAACTATATAAGAACGTTTTTACTTATGATTTGAGAACATTAATGATAATGGTTATGGTAGTCAGTAAGGTCCATTAATGGTTTTGTATTATCGCTCAACTTTACGTGGAATATATCGTGAATTGGTAATCAGTAAATTACAGGCAACCAATTCGCGATATATTCCACATAAAGTTGATCGATGTTACAAAACCATTCGTGGACCTTACTGACTACCATAACCATGCTCGCTAACTCGTAAACAATATTGCATAAAAGTGCTATAGAATGTAAAGAAACGTCAAAGTGATCCGATGCCAGCGCTGCGGCGAGTAGTTCGCGGAACTGATAATATTCAAATCAACCGTTAAATGCATGAACGAAGATACACAATGAAGAGTTACGCCTGTTTGTCTGTGGTCCTACCGAGAGACCTATTCGCAATGTGGTGAACAAATTCGAGGAAACTGGTTCGGTGCACGCTCAACCAGCATCCGTATGTCAACGGAACGCAAGGTCTGCCGAGAATATCGCCGCTGTACGCGAATGTGTGCAGGAGAACCCGCGGCAGTCGATGAACTGGGCCTCTCGCAGGCTTCAACTTAACGGAGGAGCTCAATCTTAACGATCATAGACAGCGCCGTTTGTTCGCTGATAGGGTTTTGGAGCAGTTGGAAACAGACCCCGATATTGCCCGAAAAATTCTCCTTAAGAAACGAGGTCCATTTCTGGATGAACGGGTATGTGAACAAGCAGAATTGTCGAATTTGGGACAAGCCCAATCCACACGATGTGCACCAAGGTGCAATGCATCCCCAGAAAGTCATTGTTTGGTGTGCCTTATGAGCCGGATTCGTCATCGGTCTGTACTTCTTCGAAAACGACGCTGGCGAGGCCATCATCATAGAGGTAACTCTAAGACCCAGTGGCGTCGCGTAACCTCACTTTTTACCTGTGCACCAACTTTCAAAAACAGATTTAATGCCATATTCACACTCGAATCGGTTGAAAAATACACTTAATCTTCTAATTAACTCGATATCTATCCATTGCAAGCAATATTTTGATATTTGTTTATGTTTTGAGAGTTGGTGCACAGGTAGATTGAGGTTAAGGCGACGCCACTGCTAAGACCAGAAGGTCCCGGAGAAACTAGCTAAACGTTTTGGATCAGCTCTGGTACTATCTTCGGTCCCAAGCTAATCGATTCACCCCTCGAAACATAGGAAAATTCACTAACCCCTCATTTTATCTGTCAAACTTTCATAGCGAATCAAAACAAACATACTGTAGTACTGGAATTTATACTAGAATGGGGTACGTTAGTCGATTTGCTTGGGACCAATACTGCCGTTCTACGCATAACTGTCCCATGTTCTATGCAATCCTTATGCACCGTGGGACTCTTATGCGTATAATGGCAGAATAGGCTAATCAAGTAGTGAGCCAATTTAAAATCGTTAGTTTCGTCTTGATCTTCGAAAACGACGCTGGCGAGGCCATCACCGCCAACGGAGAGCGCTACAGGTCGATGATTACCGACTTCTTCTGGCCTAAAGTGGACGATATGGATGTGAACGATATGTGGTTTCAACAGGATGGTGTAACGTGCCAAATAGCGCACGAAACAATCTATATTCTGCATGAGCGATTTCCGGGCATGGTTATTTCGCTCGGAGGCGATGTCAACTAGCCACCAAGATCGTGTGATTTAACACTGCAGTAGACTTTTTCTTGTGGGTTTATGTTAAGTCGCAGGTCTATGCCAATAAGCCGCAATCCACCGATGCCCTCAAAGCGAAGACTTCATATCAAGAAGACTGGCAACTTTTTCATTTTCTCATACGAACGCTATGAGACAGGTACAATCGCGTCATCTGCCACTCAAAGGTAAATGATTCGAACGAATTAGATAGCAAAGATTACATCCTCAGAAGAAAGGTTTGTGTATTTGCTAATTTTTCTATGCGTTCCTTCCACCTTCACTCAAGCGCAGCGCTACCATAGAGGTAACTCTAAGACTAGAAGGTCCCGAAATAATGTGCTCAACTTTTTGGCTCAGCTCTGGTACTCTCTTCGGTCCCAAGCTAATCGATTCACCCCTTGAAACATAGGAAAAACCCCTCATTTTATCTGTCAAACTTTCATAGTCAATCAAAACAAACATTGCGTAGTACTAGAATTTCGACTAGAATGGGGAACGTTAATCGTTTGCTTGGGACCAATAGGCTAGTCAAGTAGTGAGCCAATTTAAAATCGTTTCGTATTGATTGTTGGCGCTACTGTATCTGTCGCTTGGATTCTGGCAAAGTTGCCAGTCTTCTTGATTATTTGTTGTTTTCACTCAAAGCCAACATTACTCAACCCATTATGGAAAATTGGACCTCTCGGATACACGCCACCAAGCGAAGCCATTTGAACGATGTCATATTCTATACATAATGGTATTGATAGGCCTTTCCATCGAAACATAAATCTCGTTAATATCTCACACACAGTTTGTTTTATTCAACTTTAAGGTGATTCGCTGTGACATCCTTATTCTCGGAACCACTTCGAAACATTAAGTGCACAAATATTAGCTTCTACAACACGTGCAACATTCAAATTGTTACTCTACGTTTGCTGCACTGCAGCATACATGAAGTAGCAATTTCAGGTGAAATTGAGCACCGATTTCCGAGATTTGTGTAATTGAAAATTTGAAGTGGAAGTGCATGTATAGCCTATGTAGTGGTCATTTGTGGACTCAACAAGAAATCACCTTAAACGTTTAATGGAAAACTTACTTTTGGAATTCACCCCTTGGGCTTTTCGTCCTAGGCGAGGAACTTTTTTTGCTAAGGCGCCGTCAATATTTCCTTAGGGCTGTCCAGTTCTTGTAAGTAATGACTTCAAGCATCAACTGCCGATTTCTCGTGAATAAAAACTCACCCTTGTAAACAAGCTTTACCTTTACCATGATCGATTCGTCGATTTTCTCTTTCAATTCCTACAGCTAAGGGAAACAATTATAACAAAGAAACTGGAATTTCACCTTTGTTGTGTACGGAGTTCCAATTTCATGAGTGATGTCCGTCCAAGAATTGTGCTCTAGAAATCTTGAAGTGATAGGGAATATCAGCCATCATGACGGTTATTGTTGGACATTTCAATGAATCACCTGAAGAAAGCCCTACCTTCATATCTGATTGTAATTTAGGAACCAAATGTAATAGAAGATGTATTCGCATTTTTATGAGGTCCTGAATTTAACTAAGTTTTACTAAGAAGGAAATCCAAAATATGTACATTGGACCGAAATCATATCAATATCTAGAAAAATGCACGAGAATTTCCCTACACAACTTAACGTAGGGTAAACGCTCCTATAGTTGCGGTACGTTAGAAGCGTTAGGTTCCTATAGTTGTGTATGGAGACTCCGTACACAACTATAGGAACCTAACGCTTCTAACGTACCGCAACTATAGGAGCGTTTCCCCTAGTCTACGTCAACCATGCGGTCGTGTTTTGTACACAACTCACTTTTTTTTTTATTTTGAAATATCTGTTTTTTTTATAAATCGAAAAATTGTCGTTATAATTGAATCTACGACTTTTTCAAAATTGTATTTAAACACTATGAGTTCCTTAAATTAAAGTTCGTAAATTCCCACTCCTACTTACCCTGCGAATTGTCAATTAATTGCTCATGAAGTTGCATTGCTTAACGCTTATTTTCAACTAGGGGAAACGCTCCTATAGTTGCGGTACGTTAGAAGCGTTAGGTTCCTATAGTTGTGTACGGAGTCTCCATACACAACTATAGGAACCTAACGCTTCTAACGTACCGCAACTATAGGAGCGTTTACCCTACTCATAATATGCCCGGATCCAAATGTCCCCCCAAATTGAATTCATTAGACAGGAGTTTCGGCATCATTAACATTCTCATAAAACCACAACCAAGCACATTATCTAAAACTCGCACCCACTCCACACACAGGACCCGGCCCTCTGTTTTGCACGCAAACCCTCCGGGAGACCAACATCCAGCAGTTGGACATCCATTTCGATACGGATCGGAAGGGGTGTGCCGCGTGCAACTCGATCGGCAACAGCATCGGGCTGGTCAGCAAGGATCCGGACAGCAATGCCCACTTCGTCAGCAGTCAGATCCCGGTCATCAACGAGACGATCGAACTGGTCAAGAAGGCGGCCTTCCGGAGCATCAGCAGCGAGGTCAGCTCCACCGCAGCGAGTGGAGGGGGATTGGTGTTCTTTGGTGATGCCCACCGGGGTCACGTGCTGAGTCACACGTTTCATCTGATGGATTCCGAAGCTCGCGGATTCAGTAAGCTGTTTTCGATCGTGATTCTGATGAAGGACAAGATGTTCCTGTTGAATATTCAACCGTTCCTGGCGGACTGTTTGGGAAAGATTTCCAAAGAGTTGGAAGGCTATGCGAATCTAGTTCATGATGAAGATCTGAGAGCACAAGGCTCGCAGCGAGCGCAGAGGATCACCCAGGGCTATGCGAGCAATCCTTCCAAGACGAGATCGTTGGTAGAACTGACGGGAAAGGAGTCAATATTTGCGTACTTACATGCGCATTTTACGTTTGTCTTGTGGGCAGGAGCGCGATATTTGACGGAGAGCATCACACTGGGGAGTCCATCGGTACCGGCTTGGTTGGGACGAGATACGGAGGAAGGCTTTACGATGGTGCAAACCGACAAGGAGGGATATCTGCTGCGCCGGATGGGTTATGGGAAAACCGAAGACGAGAGCGATAGGATTGACGAACGATCCAAGGCTAAGTATTCGCTAAAAATGTTTCGGCAGATATTGAAGGGAGAATTTGCATCGGTTTGCTTCTGCGTGCTGACCGGGATTCAGATTGTCATTCGAGGACCGTACGTGAAGGGCGCTTGCTTGGTGAGGAATCTAAAGAAGCTGCTACCGGATCAATTGCACAAGTTGGTACGGACGCAAGCCGACTCGTACAAGGCTGCCAATGAATGTAGGATAATCAATCTGTGCCAAGAAGCAGTGGCCCCGAATCCATCAGCTGGAATCATGAGAATCGATATACTGGACGATCGAGATCAGGATACGGTTGCAGTTTGCGTGTGGGATGGCGATTTACCCTCGAAATGTAAGTATCCTGGTGGCTAAAACTAAAAGTACTAAACAAATATAAGTTACCTGTATTTTCCACCTCCAGTGCCAACGCTGCTTCAGAAAATCTTGAAAGCTGTAGACGAGGAACTGTTCACCGATTTGGTTTTGGACAAGCACCTTCGAGCGTTGATTGAAGAATGGAAGAAGTAAGTTCCCCTGAACTGCAATCACTTGAACCAACTCACTCCAAACATGGCTTTCTTTCACACTTCCAGCAAGGTGGTCTGCATCCGGAAGATGAGCTCCAACCAGGACGTCGCCAAAGTGAAGAAAATCATGGGCATCCAACAGCAGGACCAGGTGCTGATCAACTACTGGCACAGTCACTTATGACACACTGCGAGCTTCGATTTCATGGAATCATTTTTCTTATATTTTCACTTAAATACACAAATAATAGAAGGAAAGTTGTTGTGTTTCCTTTCGAACCGACAATGTGAATTTCCCTTCCTCCTCTCTTAGTTCTTGAAGCCACAGCTGCTGCGGCGACCACGAGCCTTCTCGTACTTGCGTCCCTTCGACTGGACATAGGGCCGAGTGTTGGAGTGTGGCACACCGGGAGCACGTCCAAAGTGGGTGAATGCTTCGCGGGCTGTGCGTTCTCCTTGCATCAACACGGTGTTCTTTCCGGTAGGGGCAATCAGCGCCAGCTGATCGAAGGTGTAGATCTTACCTCCCCACTTCAGGATACGTTCACGGGCCGCATCCGTCACACGCAGAGCACAGACGCTCATCTTCGGAACGTACAGCTTGCGATCATCGTTGGTCACGGTTCCGACAACAACGGCAATCGAATCATCCTTACCGCGCAGCTTCAGCAACTTGGCCACCCGAGACAGCGAAATTGGGGGCTGGTTGGTTCTGCTCATGAACAGACGACGCAGAATGATCTTGTTGAACTTCTTGTGCGTTCTGCGGTAAAGGAAGCGATAGAGCTATAACAAAAAAAAGAAGAGAAAATCCTCCATCAGCAACATGTTTACCATCGGAACTTCCTGTTAACAGAGTTTCAGGTTGACAGGTACCCATCGAGCATGCCATAACCTCCGATCGCCATCACGTAAACAATGCACTATTTCAATCGATATTTTGAACTCACCTTAACCAGCAGCCGCAGGTACACATCCAACGACTTAGGTTGGGTGCGGCGAACCTTACGGTCCCACTTATGATTGATATCAATACCCTATGGAGGGAGAAAGCACCAAAATAAATCATCCATTAGTATCAGCACTAAAATCAACATCCATCGGCCCAACAGTGACAAGCTATGACGAGATGAACCGAACGCAAAACCGGAGATAGCCACATGCAATCGACACTTTGCGCCGCTAGTTTCCCACTTTTACGCCGGAAAATCACTTTTCTCGCTAATCCTCCACTTGCACCGCCGTCGAACCGATGGCTTTTTCATTACGAAACAAAAACTTCACGTATTTTTACCATATTTCGAGCTAAAAATCGCCGTGAAGAAATTCGCAAACAGAACGACTCTTACCATCTTCAAGACCGGAAAAAGAAAGAACCAGAGCTACCAACCGCAACTTGGACGTTCAGCTGTCAAAGAAGAGTTGTTGACGTTTCCAGCCGGCGTATCAATGCCCACCTTGAGCAGACGGTGGATTCCACGGTGGCGGGTGTAGATTGGAAGGCGGGATTGTTTATGGCGGGGTTCGGACTTACACACTGTAAATAAAATACTAAAATCCAGAACAACATGTGAAAAGGGCATACAAGCTTTTTGTAAACAAACCTTTGTAGGCCCTTTTCTCACCAACCGAGGGTTGCCCACGCAAACCAGCAATATCATCGGGAAGGGGAAAGTGTCCCCTACCCGGTGATGTTAAAGGTTTGCGTTGGTGTCATATGGGTGGCGAGAAAAGGGCATAAGAAGGTTTGTTTACAAAAAGCTTGTATGCCCTTTTCACATGTTGTTCTGGAAATAGTCAATCCAGCATTTTATCACAAACGAAGTGACAGACGACTTACTGGCAAAAAAATCAATTAAAATAATGTGGTTCGCTGTAATAGAATTTTCTTAGAAGCTTGTGCCATCATCCACCAGATGGGATAGTATTTTTGTTTTGGTTTTGCACAAAGTTGATTTTGTGTCAATGATTCTTTGACAGTGTGCAAAGAGTGCGTATCATTTCAGTGCTAACATTTGAAAACGGCACAAAAGCCATTTGTAAACAAATGGTTTGTGGGCCCTTTACTCGCTACCCGAAGAACGCCCACGCAAACCAACAGCATCGTCAGGAAGGGGAAAATTTCCCCTACCCGATGTTGCTGTTGTGTCACGTGGGTGTACTTCAAGTAGTGAGTAAAGGGCCCACAAACCATTTGTTTACAAATGGCTTTTGTGCCGTTTTCAAATGTTAGCACTGATTTTGTCATTTTTTTTATGCATTTCAGTTTTGAGTAGAGTGAAAGAGATAGAACCAAAACATTCTAGTGCATTTGGTGAAAATGCTAGTTCAATCCAGTAGTTGTGTTGCCATGTGGTTCAATCCAGTAGTAGTGGTGTTGCCATGTGGTACACTGAAAAATTGCAATAGCAGGTTAGTCACCAAAGTTTTCGAGCCGCTCCGTCTGTCACTTCGTTTGTGATTTTATGAGCGCTCATGGCCGCCACGAGCGCTCTGGCTGAGTTTCTGGTAGGGAACATTCGATTTGATGTTTGGGTTATGTCGTTTGACGTATAAACGATCAAATTTGACCGTTTACTGGTCAAACGACACAAGCCAACCCTAATAAATTTGTTATGGTTATTTTGCTTAACGACGTGTTTGGGGTATCATCCAAACCATTTATGGAAAAGTTCGATTATTTGGGTTATTGTTCGTTTATGGTATTTGTTAATTAGGGAAACTTTTGACGTTTGAATTTTTGATTTTACCCAAAGTTCTGCACTAATAAATACTGGTGCAATTCACAAACGTCAGAGAAGTCTATTGGGTTTTTGGAAAATACGCGATAAATACATATTCGTAATCTGCATTAAAAATGGAACCGAAATCCGAAATTTAATCTATTTTGATAAATTAGAACCAGGTATACTCCCCATAAAGTTGATCGATGCTACAAACCATTAATTTAATAAATTTTGGTACGCTGGAACTATTTTAAATAAGTGCGATTACATTAGAAAAAATCACCATGTCAGCGCCCCTCTGTGGGACTTTGTATGAGGGTGAGCTGCTAATATGTTAAACGCTGTCCAGACTGGATGGTTATAACATAGAGGTAACTCTAAAACACTGTACAGACTGGTATAACTCTCCAGGTAACGGTTGTCAAATAACTGCAACACAGAAAATACGATCAAGATAGCGCTATAACATGTTATAACCATAGAGGTAACTCTAAGACCACTGGGTCCCGAAGAAAATCATTATTATTTTTGGCTCACTCAGTACCAGAACAACGGTCCCAAGCAGTCCCAAGCTATTTCACTCACCCCTGCATGTTCTGCATGAATCCACACACCCCTGATGTTATCTGTCAAACTTTCATAGCGAATCAAAACAAACATAGTGTAGTAATAGAATTTCAACTAGAATAGGGTACGTTAATCGTTTGCTTGGGACCAATAGGCTACTAAAGTGGTGAGCCAATTTAAAATCGTTAGTTTCGTATTGATTGTTGTTATAACTCTGTAGTCTGAACAAGGCATTATGCCTTGTTCAGACTGGAGAGTTATAACATGTTATAACGGTTGTCAAATAATTGCAACACAGAAACCACCATCAAGATAGCGCTATAACATGTTATAACCATAGAGGTAACTCTAAGACCACTGGGTCCCGAAGAAAATCATTATTATTTTTGGCTCACTCAGTACCAGAACAACGGTCCCAAGCAGTCCCAAGCTATTTCACTCACCCCTGCATGTTCTGCATGAATCCACACACCCCTGATGTTATCTGTCAAACTTTCATAGCGAATCAAAACAAACATAGTGTAGTAATAGAATTTAAACTAGAATAGGGTACGTTAATCGTTTGCTTGGGACCAATAGGCTACTAAAGTGGTGAGCCAATTTAAAATCGTTAGTTTCGTATTGATTGTTGTTATAACTCTGTAGTCTGAACGTACTATTACCAACAATCAATACGAAACTAACGATTTTAAATTGGCTCACCACTTTAGTAGCCTATTGGTCCCAAGCAAACGATTAACGTACCCTATTCTAGTTGAAATTCTATTACTACACTATGTTTGTTTTGATTCGCTATGAAAGTTTGACAGATAACATCAGGGGTGTGTGGATTCATGCAGAACATGCAGGGGTGAGTGAAATAGCTTGGGACTGCTTGGGACCGTTGTTCTGGTACTGAGTGAGCCAAAAATAATAATGATTTTCTTCGGGACCCAGTGGTCTTAGAGTTACCTCTATGGCATTACCTCTATGGTTATAACATGTTATAGCGCTATCTTGATGGTGGTTTCTGTGTTGCAATTATTTGACAACCGTTATAACATGTTATAATTCTCCAGTCTGTACAGCGCTGGAGAGTTATAACATGTTATAAAGGTTGTCAAATAATTGCAACACAGAAACCACCATCAAGATAGCGCTATAGCATGTTATAACTCTGTAGTCTGAACGTACTATTATAGTACGTTCAGACTACAGAGTTATAACATGTTATAGCGCTATCTTGATGGTGGTTTCTGTGTTGCAATTATTTGACAACCGTTATAACATGTTATAACTCTCCAGTCTGTACAGCGTTTTAAACGCTATCCAGACTGAGCAGTTATAACATAGAGGTAACTCTAAGACTACTGGGTCCCGAAGAAAATCATTATTATTTTTGGCTCACTCAGTACCAGAACAACGGTCCCAAGCAGTCCCAAGCTATTTCACTCACCCCTGCATGTTCTGCATGAATCCACACACCCCTGATGTTATCTGTCAAACTTTCATAGCGAATCAAAACAAACATAGTGTAGTAATAGAATTTCAACTAGAATAGGGTACGTTAATCGTTTGCTTGGGACCAATAGGCTACTAAAGTGGTGAGCCAATTTAAAATCGTTAGTTTCGTATTGATTGTTGGTTATAACATGTTATAACGGTTGTCAAATAATTGCAACACAGAAACCACCATCAAGATAGCACTATAATATGTTATAACTTGCTATTGTTAATAGTACGTTCAGACTACAGAGTTATAACATGTTATAGCGCTATCTTGATGGTGGTTTCTGTGTTGCAATTATTTGACAACCGTTATAACATGTTATAACTCTCCAGTCTGAACAAGGCATAACCCCGACGGTGCAAAACCTAATTAGGTACTGCAGCGTGACGTCACAAATGAACTCAGTGTTAATCGGCTGAACCTTTTTGACATTTCAGTGGTACTGTTTACAAGCACTTAGTCGTTTTTTCGAAAAAAATATATTTAAAAATTTCCGAATTTTAACTTGAAAACTGTCGAGGAAATGCGTGGTGAAAGAATGTGGCGCGTGGACATTGCAAAAGTGTGGTTTACATCGCACTGCAATCTGAAAAATTATCCAGAAAATCTACCCAAGAAAAAATCGACTAAGTCCACGTAAACAGTACCACTGAACTGTCATCAGATTGAGGTTAACCCCGACGGTGCAAAACCTAATAGACGAGTGCACGGATGGATTTGATTTCACTCACTCGACAAAAAGTGACACAACAGTGGGGCCCTGTTTACTAAAAATGAACACATGAATACCATAGAGGTAACTCTAATAGCGAATTCGTTTATTATCGGGGTTGGAACCAGTTCCAACCCAGTGCGAAACCGAACTTTTTGTCAGTGCGAACCTCAACCTGAGCTAGGTTTTAAAAACAAACGAGCAAACTGACGTTTGTCAGAAAACAAGCAGACCCAATCCTGATACCCGATCCAGGTTGGAACTGAATAATAAACGAATTCGCTATAAGACCAGAAAGTCCCGAAGAAACGAGCTCGACTTTTTGGCTCAGCTCTAGTACTCTCTTCGGTCCCAAGCTAATCGATTCACCCCTCGAAACATAGGAAAAACCAATAACCCCTCATTTTATCTGTCAAACTTTCATAGCGAATCAAAACAAACATTGCGTAGTACTAGAATTTCGACTAGAATAGGGTACGTTAATCGTTTGCTTGGGACCAATAGGCTACTAAAGTGGTGAGCCAATTTAAAATCGTTAGTTTCGTATTGATTGTTGTGAATACTGCCGATACTCGCATAATTGTCCCATCTTTGCTTGATTTCCTATTCATATGGGACAGTTATGCTTTTATGTGCAGAATAATGCTCGCATAACATTTGAAAATGGATTATCAATTTTTCTAAACAACTTGCAAGGTCCTTTTCACGAGAACCGAAGTATGCTTACGTAAACCAAGAGCACTATCGGGAAGGGGAGAATTTCTCCTACCCGATGGTGTTGTTAGTTTGCGTGGGCGTATTCGGTTCGCGCGAAAAGGACTTAACAAGTTTTGTGTACAAAAGTTGATAGGCCCGCTTCAAATGTTACGCGAGTATTATTCATGTGTTCATTTTTAGTAAACAGGGCCCCACTGTTGTGTCACTTTTTGTCAAGCGAGTGAACTCAAATCCATCCGTGCACTCGTCTATATTAGGTACTGCAGCGTGACGTCATAAATGAACTCAGTGTTAGCCGGCTGAACCTTTTTGACAGTTCAGTGGTACTGTTTACAAGCACTTAGTCGTTTTTTCAATAAAAAATATTCAAAAATTTCCGAATTTCAACTTGAAAATTGTCGAGGAACAGCGCGTAGAAAGGATGTTGCTCATGGACATTGCAGAAGTGAGGTTTACATCTCACTGCAGTCCGAAAAATTATTGAGAAAATCCACCCAAGAAAAAATCGACTAAGTCCACGTAAACAGTACCACTGAACTGTCATCAGATTGAGGTTAACCCCGACGGTGCAAAACCTAATTAGGTTCTGCAGCGTGACGTCACAAATGACCTCAGTGTTAAACGGCTGAACCTTTTTGACAGTTCAGTGGTACTGTTTACAAGCACTTAGTCGTTTTTTCGAAAAAATATATTTTAAAATTTCCGAATTTTAACTTGAAAATTGTTGAGGAAATGCGTGGTGAAAGGATGTTGCTCGTGGACATTGCAAAAGTGTGGTTTACAGCTCACTGCAATCTGAAAAATGATCCAGAAAATCTTCCCAAGAAAAAATCGACTAAGTCCACGTAAACAGTACCACTGAACTGCCATCAGATTGAGGTTAACCCCGACGGTGCAAAACCTAATAGCCTTCCGTGACATTTGTGAAATGCACAACTCGATGCATAAGTATTAGTGCAGAACTTAAATAAATTATTAGTATTAGTGCAAGAAAACCTTTGAATTTACCCAAAGTCTATACTGATAACCCGTTCACATTACAGCGTATATCACGTGATATACGCTGTCTTGCAAGGATTTCCAGTGAAAACTAGATGTATGAGTGCTCATTGCAAGACAGCCTATATTACGTGATATAGGCTGTAATGTGAACGGGGTATGAATGATATTTGAGCAATTTTTAATTTACACGGCGTGCAGCTTAGCGGGGTTCAATTTAAAAAGTGTTCAGATTAAAAGTGGTCAGATTACCGAGGGTCCAACTTACCTTCGCAACGACAACGAAGTGCCCATTCAAATATTTCCCGACAACGGAATGGACTAAGCCGTCTTCGAACTTTTTGTACACGCAAACCAAAAATCTATTACAATGAATGTTAGTTCCGTTTCCTATAATCCTCTGTACATGAACATCGCAGCGAATGTTAGAAGTTGACCTTATAGGCGAGTTAATGGTTTTTTTTGTCTTTTTCATTTCGTGTTCTATCTACGCTTTCGACTATACCAGTAAGCTTGTAGAACGACGCACATTGTAGAACAATGTAGAATGACACACACACTTGCCTAGAATCTCTCCAGCAGAAAAAGCATACGAAGTCAAGTATGCGAGAAAATGAGCGCTTCATGTTTGCTTTTAGGCTATCCATATTCAGGAGCATGGAGAGAGCAGTGGAGGAAGCACAGGTCTGATAATCGAAGCGTTCTTGGTTCGAGTCCAGTCAGCAATCGGATTCCTATTTTTTTCGACATAACTAATTTACCTCACTAATACCAACAATCAATACGAAACTAACGATTTTAAATTGGCTCACCACTTTAGTAGCCTATTGGTCCCAAGCAAACGATTAACGTACCCTATTCTAGTCGAAATTCTAGTACTACGCAATGTTTGTTTTGATTCGCTATGAAAGTTTGACAGATAAAATGAGGGGTTATTGGTTTTTCCTATGTTTCGAGGGGTGATTCGACAAGCTTGGGACCGAAACCCCTCATTTTATCTGTCAAACTTTCGTAGCGAATCAAAACAAACATTGTGTAGTACTAGAACTTTGACTAGAATGGGATACGTTAATCGTTTGCTTGGGACCAATGGGCTAGTCAAGTAGTGAGCCAATTAAAATCGTTAGTTTCGTATTGATTGTTGCTAATACACTCTACATTTTTCGGTCTCCAATTTTCTTGCATTGGACCGCAGCTAGGTATATCGCATCCTCGGTTCATGCGGTCTCCACTAACATCCTCTGATGATGAATCCCACATAATTGTAAGCGAATCTTACATCCCTCGGTTGGGTGTAGCCTTCGAGGCTACGACTGTTTCTAATTGGCTGTCCAATATACGGAGAACGGTAGTTCAATAAATAATCTACCACGTGACCAGTGGTAATATTTATTGGCAAATTTGATGCGGTAAGGTGATGTCAAAGGTGATGTTCTGTATACGGATCACGATAATTTATCAAACGAATTTTCTCTATGTATCTTCACAACCGGATGCTCCCGTCGCAACTTTTGAGCGTAAGCTGAAAGTTTTCTTCCGGTAGGACAAAGATCGCTAACCGAAAGCATCTAAAAAATCAAAAACAATCCTTTGACCTAATGAAATACAATAAATACTATTCCATACCTTAACAATGTTATCCGTTACACTACGGTACGGGGAGCAGTTAATTGGCATCAGAACTCGAAATCATTTATCACGCAGAGCAGATGAAACGGACACGCAGTACGTAATGCAGCTAGGACGGAGCACACAGAGCACTTGAAACGGACACGAATGAAACGAAGAATGTATTCCAATCAGATACGGAAAGCACGGAACGCGGGAGCAGTTGATATTGCCGGATATTACCTACGATACGGATACGCAACACGGGATCAGAACTAACTTTCAATCCAGCCGGCAAAGCAAAAGTTCATTTATAGTAAACAAGGCCCCGCTCTCCTGTCATTTTTTTTTCAGTAGATGAACTCGAATTCACCAGTGCACTCGATGATATCTAGATAGAGCTGGAATTAGGGCCTAACAGCTTTTGTAAACAATTACTTCTATCGACGATTTCTAGAAATTCAAGACTCGCCCACGCAAACCAACATCCTCATCAGGTAGGGAAAAACTTCCCCTATCCGATGGTTATGTTGATTTGCGTGGGCGTGCCTTGAGTTCCTAGAAATCATCGATAGAAGTCATTGTTTACAAAAGCTGTTACGCCCTAATTCCAGCTCTATCTAGATATATTGGATTTCGGATGTATTTTCAATGAATATCCAATTACCTCAACACCCCTAAAGAACCTAGTTGAGGAAAAAAAAAGTATGCCCCCTTTAGGTGATACTAAAGAGACTGAATTGGGTTTAGCCTCTTTAGGTGATACGAAACAGAGTACAAAAATTGCTGTCTTGGTGGCTGACTGGCACTATCACTTCAAATTCTCTAGATGAGCACAAATCTCGGACACTTTTGCAACTTCGTGAATGAAATTGCAAACGCCTAATTTGCGGCACTGCAACAAACGACTTAATACCTTAAATTGCCATCGCATCACTAATCTGCAGCCATCCAAAACATTCCATCGGTTTTCAGTTGGCCCGTTTGATGGGCTGACGGGTGTATGAATGTGGGTTAAACATTATTTTAATACCATTTGATACATATTATTTACATAAGATAAATATTATAATTTTTTTGCCACACATCCTACTCATTTTCTTTAAACTTTTCCACGATGTTCTCCCAGCATCGCATGTTCCTGAGCATCTTCAGTTTGTAGTTCGGATTGGGCGCAAAAACTTTGTCCACTTTTCGCACACGCATGGCTTCGGGCTTGTTTCTCAGCAAACCCTCGTTGATCCCCGCCAGAAGAACAGCTCCGAGGGCCGATGAATCCACTGCTTCACCACGCTCCACCGGAAGTCCGGATATGTCGGCCAAGGTTTGGCAGATGAAGTCGTTCCGAGAGACTGTTCCGTCTACTTTAATTTTTTTGAAATCGTCCAATCCTTGGTTTAAAATTTCCTTATGAGCACTGATGTATAGCAGGGAGATGCGGTAGACAAGGCTCTCCAGCAGTGCCCTAACCAAATGCTCTTTGCGAGTGGTTTTTTTCATACCGATGAAGCTGGATCCGGCGGTGATGTCCCGTACACCGAAAACGCTGAAGGCTGGTATGTAGAATACTCCATTCGAGTCAGGGACGGAGGAAGCCATTGCGGAAGCGTCGTTCGGGTCGGTGAACAGGCCGATTTTGATACCCCAATCAATTACGGTGGTACAATCGGTGCAGGTTTTCTCCAGAACGTAGGACAGTTCTTCGTGACCGGAGATTGGGTGGGTACATTTGTAACCAACCGTGGGAATCAATCCGTACTCAGATGCCAGACAAGTGCGACCCGTTATGATGTCGAGTACTGCGGAGGTGTCCATTTTGATGTAGAGGTCAGTGCGCTCAAAGGAACCCGTTCCCCAGAGGGCTGCAGAGGTGTCGGACATCTGTGGATGGGTTTTGGTTAGAAATTTGGATGATTATGGGCTATTTGGGCAGGTTACCGAGGTGCCAATTTTGATGGCGCTCCCAAAAAGCGATGCGTCGATTGATCCAAAGTCGTACGAGTTGTCCACTACCTTCGGCAGCATGTCTCTCTGGAATAGTTAAACAATTGAATTAGAACGTTTTTAATTACACTTTTGAAATCTTATTGGATTTGGAGTTACCTTAATGGGGTACATCATGGGTGCCCACTCAGTCCATTCGTGAGTGAAAGGATCGTAGAATCCAGTCGCTGCACAGCTCGTTACATCGGTAATGTGTTCGACCTCGTGCTTTGGATCGGAACCTTTCCTAAAACGATACAGCAGCCACGCATCGATAGTTCCATACAATACATTTCCTGCTTCCAGATCATGCTGAATTCCTTGGCAGTTCTCCAGCATCCACGCCAATCGCATGGTCACGTGTGAATTCGTGACATCAAACACCCTCTGGCTGAGGTATCGCTGGCTTCGGGTAACGTAGTGCAATAATCCGGCACTGGCCTTGAAAGCCTTGAACATGAACTCGTCGTTGCACTCTTTGACCATTTGATCGGCACGCAAGTCTTGCGCAGTGATGAAATTATGATACACCATTCCGGTCGATCGATTCCAACAAGTGAACGAACCTCGGTGGGCGGTCAAGGCGAGGTACGCAATCTGGCCGGCCGTCAGATTGGCCTCTGAGAAATGATCGGTCACGAAATAGATCTACTAAAATATCAAGTTTCTTACCTTCAATCGCAGTCTTGATCGTATGGACGACACTGTCCCATAGCTTCCCATGATCGATTTCCACCCGTCCGATCGCAGGGTAAACAAATGTAATCTAGGATCACAATCAATAGATAATTTCATACATTTTATCTCAAAAAGATCATGCTTACGTGATCGTATGCCGACCCCACGACTTCTAGTCGGGACGAATCACGAAACAATGCGTAGACGAAGCACTTGACCAGTTTCGCATCGACGTTCAATGCTGCGACATACCGGACCGCGGTGCCCATTATGCTTCCTTTGCGAAAAAATCTGCTATTGATTGCACACTTGGCAAGGAAAAGAACTTAAGCCACCAGCTACGACGATTGCAAGTCAAAGACTGACCATCGCTGGCAGTGTCGTAAAATTGTTCTCATCCTCTTGGAGCGCGCGCGAACTCAACTAATGCATTATTGACGAATCAACGGTGCGTGAGAATGCGTTCGGTCGTTCAAATGAAACATGGGGCAATTCATGAAAAAGCGTCAGTAAATATACGAAACGAAAGGACGAAACAATCCGTTGGGTTTTGGTCAAAAACAGTTTATTGCAAAAGTAACAATATCACATCGTTAGTTCAGACTGTTCAGTTCTTCATCAATGTACCATCGCTTGAATCTTTCGACGGCACGTTCCCACGATCGCATGCTTTTGAAGCATTTGCTCTTGTTGGATGCAATCGGTTCAAAGATTCGATCGATCTTTCTGATATCGATCAGTTCCTGTTTGCTGCGCCAAATGCCTACGTTCAATCCGGCGAGAAACATCGCTCCCAGTGCAGTCGAGTCCGTCACTTCACCTCGTTCGACGGGCAGTCCGGTGAGATCGGCCAACGTTTGGCAGATGAAATCGTTCCGAGAGACTCCTCCGTCGACCTTGATCCGAGTGAATGTGTATCGCGTTTCGGTTAGTGCACACACGTACAGTAGCGCGATTCGATATGCAAGACTTTCGAGAATTGCTCGTACCAGGTGTTCCTTCCGCGTTGACGCTTTGATGCCTATGAACCCAGTGCCAGCTGTGTCGTTACGTATCGGTGGCTGAAAATCAAAACATTTAGGAATGTTCCTTGAAAGTGTAGTACTAGATCGCATACTCCCAGTCCACTGAATGCCGGAATGAAGGAAACTCCGTCCGAATCGGGAACGGAGAGTGCCATGTCTGAGCTGTCACGTGGATCCGTGAAAAGCCCTATACTCATGGCCCACTCGATGATCGAGCCATTGTCATTGGATGCTCCCTCCATCAGGTAAACCAACTCGGTGCTGTTAATTGAATTCGTTTTGTATCCTACCAACGGATACAGCCCATGAACTGAAGCTAAACACGTTGATCCGGTGTTGACGTTCAAGAATGCTCCCGTTCCCATGGTAACCTTGACTTCACCCTTCTCAAAACAGCAAGTACCCCACAATGAAGCGGATTGATCTGAAATCTGGTTAAAAATCAGGATGTGAACAATATTGCCAATATTGGAAGTACTAGATTGATCATACCGATGTACCAATTTGTATTGCACTGCCAAATAGTGATTCATCCACATACCCAAAGTCGTATGAATTGTCCACAACCTTCGGCAGAAGATCTTTCTAGAATAGGAAAATTAAAATCATTATGAGCATTGAAATCGTCCAACCCATCAAACCTTGATATTGAAGAAACTCAGCGCCCATGTGGCCCATTCCTGCCCGAACGGGTCGTAGAATCCCGTCGAGGTACAATTGGTCACATCGCCGATATGTTCCACCACACGCGATTGGTCCAGCCCTTGCCGCAACCGGTAAAGCAGCCAAGAGTCGATCGTTCCATATAGCACTTGGCCCTCTTTGACATCCCGTTGAAGGTCGCCATTGTTCTGCAGGACCCATGCCAGTCTAAGCGTCACCTGGGGGTTCATCATTTTGATCACGCTGCCCGCCAGGAAGCGCTTGCTGCGTGTGAAGAAGTGCAGAAAGCGGGCGCCTGCTTTGAGAACTCTGAAAGAGTTGATTTTGTTGTGGTGAAGTCAAAACGTTGTTTTTTTTTTATATAAAAGAAAGAAACCTCAATTTGAAGCTGTTGTTCCACTGTTGAACGAGTTTGTCCGCTCGGAGGTCCTTCCACGTGATGAAGTTGTGGTACGCATGGCCGGTCAGCTTGTTCCAACAGGTGAACGTGTTCCGCTGGGTGGATATGCTCAGGCAGGCGATCTGTTGTGCCGTGAGCTTTGCGTCTGGAAATTTTCAGTTACATGATCAAAGTTGATTGAAGTGTGAATTAAACTACAGTAGCAACAATTGAGTGATATTTGGGTGGATACTCATAGATCTCGCTATAGCTTTATTGACGGTGACTTAAATTCACAGCCTATCAAGCGATTTTCACACCTACTGGAATTCCAAACAAATTGAATGATGTTTGCTTGCAGCAAATAATCGTGACTGGGATAGTGTGTGACGTTTGTAATGCTTCCGTAGATACATCTATATTTACATCTATATTTCCATCTATATTTTGAAAGAATGTGTGTTTTGATGCACTATGTTGTGCAAACCAGAACGTAAATTTACTAGGAACAATAATTCCTTTCAGTAATCAAGTTTTATATTTTATAGAGTAAAGACATGAACATTAAATGTTCATGTCTTTACTCTATAAAATATAAAACTTGATTACTGAAAGGAATTATTGTTATGAGGACATCTCTTCAGCAGACGGTTGAGAACAGACAAACTTACCACAATTTGAAAGCTCGTTTGATATGCTTTCAGATGCAGCTACACTGATACAAAATCCATTGGCAAAAATACTATATTGCTGGTTTAAATTAAATACCCTCACCAATAGATTTGTGCAGAAAACAATTTCATTTAATTTTACTATTATTTCTATCAAAATTACTATGCATTTTGAGCAAGCATAGTAGTTTCGCCAGGATCATAGTAAATTGTTTTACATTCGTAGTCAACTATACTGAATTCATAGTAGATTTAACGGTAATAAGCGTGGTTATATTGATAATAAGTGTTTTCTGCAAAATAGTATTTCCAACTATGATCCTTGTTTCAGTGTAACCACATCTGCACCTTCCTGCACCTAAGAAAGATATAGGCCCGTCGCCAGGCAAGTAAGAGAGGTACCACAGTCGGAAGAAGTGTTAGTTTGTTTACTTAAATGAACCATGCCCATTTTGTTATGGCAAGTTTGCTATAAGAAATGCTCCTCGTGTTTATTAGCGAAATTCACATCAAAGGTTGATTAATTGGCGTTGACGGCACCGTCGAAAAATTTGCTCTTTCAGCAAATATAGACAGTTTCTTATGGAAATTTTCGGTGGAGTGAAAGGATAGTACAAAGTCCGCCATGTTTCACGCACAGTCTGACGTTTGCTTATGGATTTTCTCATAGGAGTAAAGAGCTACAGAGTCGCCGTCAACGCCAATTGCGTAGGAAATCAGTTTGGCACGGCATTTGTGACCAGCATACACCTTCCGGTCGTACGAAACAGGTCAAAAACAGTCCAGTCTGCATCGTGCTCTCTTGCCGTGCGGATCTATTTGCTTTTTTCTTAAGGAAGTGTTACTACTACCTAAAGCTACAACAAATTTAAACAGCACTTTTCAGTGCTCCACCTGTAAAAAATTTCTACCTTGTTCAACTCTTATTCCTCTTCGATCCTTGTTTGGACCCTACCCGAGGTAATCCTTCTTGGATATCGATTTGGAAAATTCCTCTTCGATCCTTCAGATTCTTATAGTAATCTGCTTGGAAGTCGATTTGGATAAAAATTTACTGCCGCCATGGCGCCTAAACGCAAAAGAAAGGGGCAAACACTTGACCCCCCTTCTGATGAAATTAATTTGAGTAATCAATTTGATTTGCTCACGGATGATGAGAATGATCCATCATCCAAGAAAAATTCTAGTAAACTTTCCCGGCTTAATGCCAAGAAGGAAAAGATTCCCCCTATTGTGATAACCACCACTTCCGATTTCCATGCTCTTCGCATGGAACTTTTGAATTTCGTGAAAGTTAAGTTTTCACTACAAATTGGACGTCGGGGTGAATGCCGTGTATTGGATGAAACCTTGGACGGATTTAAATGTCTTCTCAAGTATCTTACTGAGAAGAAGCACAATTTTTTTACTTAGGACACCAAAACTGAACGTGTGTTCAAGGTTGTCATGAAAGGACTGCCCAGTGGTGAATCCCTGGATCAGATCAAAGATGAACTGGCAAAATTACTTGGAGTTGTGCCACTCCAAGTAATCAAAATGAAAATGAAATCCCGTCCTGGCGATTCACGCAACGGGATTTCTAATGATTTTTATTTATTTCACTTCAAGTCTAGTGAACTAAACAACCTTAAGGCCTTAGAAAAAGCTAGCCTTATGCTCCATGTCCGAGTGAAGTGGGAACACTTCAGGAAGACTGGAGGAAATTTCCAAAACCTCACTCAGTGCCGTAAGTGCCAGGGATGGGGTCACGGAACTAAAAATTGCTACATGCCAGCTAAATGCATGAATTGTGGCGATTCCTCTCACGCAAAGGACGACTGTCCTGTGAAGGAAGATCCTAAGAAATTTAAATGTTCAAATTGTGGTGAAAACCACAAATCCAATTTTTGGGAATGTAAGACTCGCAAAGCGATCCTACAATCTCGTTCTAACAGTCAGGTAGGAAACGCTCCACGTTTCCGACCAGGTACAAATTCCTCTGCTGTTAACAACGGTCAGCGAGGAACAAATTCTACATTCGTACCCGTAGGTACAAATATCACCCCTGCTTCAAATTTTTCATCTGCACCTACTCCCCTCGCTGCTAACAATGTTCAGCGAGTTATGGAGCTACCTATGCTGCTATTGCAACGGGTAGAAATCAAAATACTAACCAACGTTCTAACGGAAATTTTGACAATTTTGACTTAGGAAGCATTACTGCCCCTAAAATGGAATTTTTACAGAAATAATTAATTGACATGATTTCTGATATGCTTAAATCTAACTCCATGTTTGATGCTATTCAAACTGGAGTAAAATTTGCTAATAATATTGTCATGACTTTAAGATTCAGTAATGGATTTTAAAGCTTTAAACATTTTAAATTGGAATGCTTGATCTCTTAAAGATTATGAAGACGAGCTATTTAACTTTTTGAGAGTTCATAACGTGCATATTGCCGTTATAACTGAAACGTTCCTTAAACCTGACCATAAGGTTAAGAAGGACGCAAATTACTTGATTTATAGAAATGATCGTCTTGATGGACCCTGTGGTGGCGTTGCCATCATTATTCATAGACGAATCAAACATAAAATTCTTTCATCATTTGAAACCAAAGTTTTTGAAACTTTGGGAGTTTTTGTTGAAACAAAATTTGGACAACTTACGTTTATAGCTGCCTATTTGCCATTCCAATGCGTAGGCCAGCAAAAGAATTTTCTCAAGGGTGACCTCCAGAAACTTACCCGTCATAGGTCTAAATTCTTCATTATTGGTGATTTAAATGCAAAACACCACTCATGGAATAATGCTCAAAGCAATTCCAATGGTAATATTCTGTTTGATGATTGTTCTGCAGGTTATTACACTATTCAATATCCAAACAGCCCAACATGCTTTTCTTCTGCAAGAAATCCCTCAACTATTGATTTGGTCTTAACTGATTCATGTCATCTTTGTAGCCAATTGGTTACCCATGCTGACTTCGGTTCTGATCACCTTCCAGTAACTTTTGAAATATCTCAAGAAATAATTTCTAATCCCAACAGCTCTACTTTCAATTACCATACGGCTGATTGGGAGCAATATCGAACATTTATGGAATATAACTTCGATCCAAACATTCCTTTGCAAACCAAAGATGAAATTAATTATGCTCTTGAATCTCTGACTACTTCTATAGTTGAATCAAGAGCTGTCTTAGTACCAAAATGCGAGGTTAAATTCGATTCAATTATAATAGACGACGATCTTCAGCTCTTGATCCGTCTTAAAAATGTCCGTAGGAGACAATATCAAAGAACACGCGATCCTGCTATGAAAGTTATCTGGCGGGATTTGCAAAAACAAATTAAAAAACGATTCTCTGCCCTGAGGAACAAAACTTTTGAAAATAATGTTTCTAAATTAGACCCGAGTTCCAAACCCTTTTGGAAACTCACAAAAATTTTGAAAAAACCTCAAAAGCCTATTCCAGCGCTTAAAGAAGGTGGTAAAATTTTGATCACAAACTTGGAAAAAGCTCAGAAACTTGCTAAGCAATTCGAGAGTTCCCATAATTTCAGTTTGGGTCTTACTAGTCCTATTGAGAATCAGGTTGCTCGGAATTATCAGAATATTTTCTCTCGGGAAAATATTTTTGATAATTCCTGGGGGCCTGATTTGGACGAAGTAAGGTCTATAACTAAAAAGTTTCAAAATATGAAAGCTCCAGGTGATGATGGAATTTTCTATATCCTCATCAAAAAACTCCCAGAGGGTACCTTGTCTTTCTTGGTAAAATTATTTAACAGATGTTTCCATTTGGCATAGTTTCCTGATAAATGGAAAAATGCAAAAGTTGTTCCAATTTTGAAGCCGGATAAAAATCCAGCTGAAGCTTCTAGCTACCGTCCAATAAGTTTGCTTTCTTCAATAAGTAAACTTTTTGAAAAGATAATTTTGAACAGAATGATGCTTCACATCAATACGAACTCAATTTTTGCAGATGAGCAGTTTGGATTTCGCCATGGGCATTCAACTACTCATCAACTCTTAAGAGTTACCAATTTAATTCGTTCAAACAAATCTGAAGGCCACTCAACTGGAGTTGCTCTTCTAGACATAGAAAAAGCCACTACTTTATTTGCTTATCCTTGACAGATACGCGTATTTCGTCTACAATGTGCAGACTTCTTCAGTGTCTTGTACTAATACTCGACTGTCGAGTATTAGTACAAGACACTGAAGAAGTCTGCACATTGTAGACGAAATACGCGTATCTGTCAAGGATAAGCAAATAAAGTAGTGGAATTAAATGGAAAATACTAATCCTTCTCTCTCTCATTATACAGGTATTCCACTAAGACGCCCACATTCATCAGGATAGAAAAAGCATTCGACAGTGTTTGGCATGAAGGTTTGATTGCTAAATTGAAAAAGTTTAATTTTCCACTTTACATTATGAAATTAGTTCAAAATTATTTAACTGACAGAACTCTGCAGGTAAATTATCAAAATTCCAAATCTAATC